AACACAACACCCTATCTTAAACATAACAAAAGCAAACTAGGCACTGGTGGCTCACACCTGTGATCCTAGATACTCAGGAGGCTGAAATCTGAGGATTGTGGTTCAAAGCCAAAATGGACAGGAAAATCCAAGAGACTCTTATCTCTAATTAACTACCAAAAAAAGAGAGACAGAAGTAGAGCTATGTCCCAAATGATAGTGCAATAGCCTTGAGCACAAAAGCTCAGGAATAGCACCCAGGCCCTCAACTGGAAACAAACAAACCAAAGCAAATTGGACTAGGTGGAGTCATGGCTCAAGTGGTGGACTACCTGCCTAAGTAGGCACAAGGCCCCACATTTAAATTCTACTACCACCACCACCACCACCAACAACAACAACAAATAACAATGGAATGGTAATATGTTCTAACTTTCCTCTCAAATAATACTAGGACCATGTTGTAATTATACAACCTGGGTAAAAATGGGTTTTAAAGATACATTTTTTTAGCCAAGCGCCCATGGCTCATACCTGTAATCCTAGTTACTCAGGAGACTGAGATCTGAGGATTGTAGTTCAAAGCCAGCTTGGAAAGCAAAGTCCATGAGACTCTTCCAATCAACAACCAGGAAACCAAAAGTAGAACTGTGGTTCAAAGTGGTAGAGTGCTGGCCTTGAGCAAATAAAGCTCAGGAACAGGGCTGGGAAGGTGGCTCAGTGGTAGAGCTCTTTCCTTGCATGCCTGAGGCCCTGGGTTTGATTCTTCAGCACCACATAAGCAAAAAGAAAAAAGCCGGAAGTGGCTCTGTGGCTCAAGTGGTAGAGCGCTAGCCTTGAGCTGAAGAGCTGAGGAACAACGCCCAGGCCCAGAGTTCAAGCTCCACAACTGGCGAAAGATAAAAAATAATATTTTTTAAGGTATCTGATTTAGTTGTTCCTGGTGTGCCTCCCACTGAGCCCCCTTTGGGGTGAGAATTCTGTGTGATGTTACCTGCCAGCCATGTCCTACCTCCTTCTTCCTACCTAGTGGCTCTCCTGATGTGGCAGCTTGGGAAGTGTTCTGCTCTCACATTCATGACAAGCTGTAGTTACTGCAGAGTTCATCGCCATGGGCCACCGTGGCTAGTGGAAGAGGTGTATGTGTGTGTGTGTGCATGATACCAGGAGAGGGTGTAGGTAAAGGCATATTGCAGGCTCCCTGGAAGGCTGTTGCCTTTCTCACGCTACCATGGTAACCTTGGTAATGCATCCTGTCTTTTGCTTCCCATCCCTCCTTGGTTCATTCCTCTGGATCCCTGGGATTGCTTCTAAATATCTTGGACATTGTCATTGGCTGCAGATTCTGCTTCAAGGACAACACAGGCTAAGACAACATCACTAGAAAAATATCTAACACTCAAATGGGTGAGATGCCACTTTGTTAATTTATCCCAGTCCTACTCTCCAGCTGAACAGTAGGATTAAGCAAGGTTAGTTTATTTTAAATATCAGTTTGGAACTCATTGACATCTCTGTTCTTGAACTGTATCTCCTTCCTTCCATCTCGCCAGTCCCACATGGAGAATGTCTGTTGTTTGTCTGTCTCCCTTCCCTCTTTGCTTTGTCTATTCTGTGGTCCTTCTCCCTTTTCCTTCCTATTTCTTTTCTTTTTCTTTTTTCCCTATTTCTGTTTTCTTCACACCTTTGCTCTATGTTTCTGTGATTCTTCCTGTCTCCTCCCTTTCCTACTGCTACTCAACAAAAGTTGGGGGTCAGGTTAGCTTGCTGGGTGTTTGAGTCTTGTGGCTTTACTCTCCTTGTGATACCTCACTAAGAGAGGGTGGCGCGGGAGGCAGTATTTGATCTGGTGTTGCCCCAATTTAGGATTCTGTAGGCTTTGCTGAGTACTGATGGTCTTGATCTAGAACAGACATTACATAAATGAGGAAGAACTGATGGAAATGGAAGGTCTGCAGAGGAAACGATGGAGCTGTGCACCAGTGGTTCATGCCTGTAATCCTAGCTACTCAAGGGACTGAAAGCTGAAGACTGAGGTTCAAAGCCAGCTAGGCAAAAATATCTGTGAGACTCTTATCCTCAGTTAACCACAAAAAAAAGCTGAAAGTGGAGGTGTGGTTCAAGTGATAGAGCTCCAGACTTTAATAATAATAATAGTAATAATAGTAATAATAAGCAAGAGCATGAAGCCCTGAGTTCAAGCCTAGTACTAACCAGCCCCCCTGTCTCCCTACACACAGAGAAATGATGGAACTCTGACTTCCTCAATAGTCACGGAAACACAGAGCTGGCTTTCAAAACCGGTCCTGAGCATATAGACTCCTCAGTCTAGATTTCTTTCCTTGATCGCTGCTCTGCAGCTGGGTCATGAAAATGTTCATTCCTAGGAGCGGAAGACCAGGAGCTGGTGTTCCAGGTGCTCAGAGGCCCAAGTGCTAGCCAGCTCGGGTCCATGTCGCATCTTCTCAGGATGGTGCAAAGCCAAGCCATCTGTCCCTGGAGGGGACTTGTTTGTTGCTCTGTAAAACCACCCAAGTACATGCACTTCAAAACCACTTTATTACCAAAATGAACAAAAAGGAGAATGACACTTAAATTAAATAAATTACACAAGCATCTTGAGAGGTTCTCAGCCCTCTTTGGGAATCCTATCGTTACAGGTCATTATCAGGAAGCATGTTTAAAAGTATTGAAATTCTGGATTATTCTGTTACATTGTTCCCTTCCGTCCTGCCTCCATCATGTTCGGAACCGAGCAGACTGTGTGACATTTATGTTCTTTCCAAAATATCCCAGGCATTGAGTTTTCTTCAACATCCTCCCTTGGCTCATATGCTCCCAATCACACCTCCGCCATGAGCTCCAAATACAGCCATACATGTCTATCAGATTCCTTTTGGAGCCCCAATTCCAGGTCAGGGTGAATTAGCAATCCCTTCCAGTCCTGGGGCTGGCTTTTGAGGATTAACGATCATTTCAACGAGTCCCCAGAGGACCTAGACACTTGGTTCAAAGGGTGTCGCTGCCTTGGGTTTTCCTGAGTCTCTGTGACCTTTCCCCACCTCTGAGGCCTGAGCTCTACTTTGAAGGAGGTGGAGTAAGGGAGGTAAGTTGTCATTGGCTAAGGTTTCTTGTCCGCTTGGAATTTGGCACTTCGGAGTGCTGGGCACGGTGAATCCCAGATAACATTGTCTTCCGCCTTCCAAGTTTTGAGCTCCCTTGGCAGTCAGGATGGCATAATGAATTCACAGAGAAGCAATGCTCATGGGCCAAAAATGTGCTGGTTCTTTGCCAGCATCAGCTCCTTTAACTCTAAGAAGACTTGCTAGCTAACAGACAGCAGCTAGCGAACGCGACGTCTGGCTGAAGTTAGGAAGTGGAATCAAGGTTGGGCCTGTCCAACCTATTCGGGACAGAGGTCATAAAACAGACATAGGTGAGAGAAGCTAAAAGATCTTCTGTGCACTTCCATGGATATTATTATTATTTAAACAAAACACTTACAATGTGAACCTATCTACTTTCAAGTCAACAGTGGGGTTCTTCTTGTCATCTCCCTACACACATGGAGAACTTAACCCCTATTTCTTTCTTTCTTTCTATTTTTTTTTCTTTCTGTGGGTCATGGGGCTTGGACTCTGGGCCTGAGCGCTGTCCCTCAGCTCTTCAGCTCAAGGCTAGAGCTCTACCACTTGAGCCACAGTGCTACTTCAGGTTTTCTGGTGGTTTATTGGAGATAAGAGGCTCACTGACTTTCCTGCCCGGGCTGGCTTTGAACCGTGATCCTCAGATCTCAGCCTCCTGAATAGCTAGGATTACAGGCGTGAGCCACTGGCGCCTGGCTCTTATCCCCTATTTCCATCTATCCCAGAGGAAGATGGCCTTTGGTGTGGAGATGGTCAAGAGCCTGCAGAGGAGGGCCCCATCTGGACCAGCCCCTCCTCTCCTCACATCTGTAGCTGTTCCCTAGGGACTTACTTGCCTCTTCTTGTCTAGTGGAAGGACCCTATCACAGCTTTGTGCTACAAGTAGATAAATGGCAAGTTAAAATGATGGATTCTTTGCCAAGCAAAGAAGAATAAGGCCAATTTCCTTAGGGGAAGCATTTCCTGGCTGGACCTGGAGGCTGAAAAGGGGTGGTGGAGGGACTGTCAGAGTCCAGGTCCCCCTCAGTTTGCCTGGCCTGGTACTGGCAGCTATCCCTCTTCCATGTTTCCAGTCCAAAGAGAGGTTCTCCCAAGCGTTTGTACAGAATGAGTGATAACTGTTGTTAGGTTGTCAGAAAGTTCTGCTGGTCTCTATCTCCCTTCTGGGTTCCTATGCAGCCTACAGTAGAAGGGAGTGGCATATGGGTAATGGTGGTGATGTTTCAGGAGGTGGCTCTTGGTAGGCTGTCCCTGGGGAGGTGGCTGGAGATCCCCGGCTGCTTCCCAGGCTGAGGTCTGAAGGCCTCCACTATCTCTTGGTGAGGAGGGAGGATGCGGAGGGAGGGACAGGGCTGTGGGGAGCACTGGATCTCAGAGGTACGGAGCTGCCTAGGCACAGAGTTGGGGGCAGCTAGAGGGGGGTCAAGCCTCAGCATCCTAACCAAGTTCATCCCTGTGTTCATTGATATCATAGCCTACGGGCCATAGTGCCCCAAGTCACCACATGTTTTACCCTTCTGTTCTTGGCTCATACTGAACATCTGGAAGTCCAAGGATCCATCAGCCATCCCCTTACCATAACCAGGGCAGGACATGGTAGGTGGGGGTGGGGTAGAGTGAGCAGGAGATTTGCTCATTGTTGGTCCAGCCCTGGGGGACATAGGAGGGGGTACTCTCACCTCCACAGAAGCAGGGTCCCCTACTTTCCAAAGACACAGGAAAGGAGGGCGGGGTGGGGAGGGGAGGAAGAAGGAAGAGGAGTTAAGAGTCCTGGTGGATGTATTCCCCTCTCCCTTGTCGATCCCCGAGATACTGGGCTTATCCTCCACAGAAATCCCAGGTGCAGGCACTCTGCAGGCAGCACAGGGAGCAGCCAGGCCCTCACAGGGCAGTCAGGGTCTCTGCATGAAACATGCTCCCGAACATCTCCTGCAGGGGCCACAGGAAGGAAGGACAAGATGAAGGAAAAGCCTTAGAACCGCCAGCCATTGCCGATGGCTCATGCCTATCAACCTTAGCTACTCAGAAGGCTGAGAGATCTGAGGATAGAGGTTTGAAGTCAGCCTGAGAAGAAAAGTGTGTGAGTCTGTGATCTCCAATTAACTACCAGAAAGCTGGAAGTGGAGCTTGTGGCTCAAGTGTTAGAGCACTAGCCTTGAGCAAAAAAAGCCAAGCAAGAGCTCAAGGCCCTGAGCTCAAGGCCTCTGATCGCCCAGCCAGAATGAGGCATGTGTATGTGTGTCAACAGGGGAGAGGTAGGCTAGCTTAATAGGTGAACTGGCATAGCAGTGACAGGAGAAAGTGCTAGAATCTGCTTGTGGATTGTATCCTATGCTATGTGACCTTCCACATGACTCTCCTTGGCCTTTAGCTTCATTAGGTAAAATAAGGGTAGAGTTGTGAAGTTCTCACTATGAGAAGCTATTTAATCCCATACAGGATTCATTCCCACACCTCCCCCCACCCCCCCACCCCCTGCATCTTGGGGCTTGAACTCAGGGCCTGAGCTGTTCCTGAATCTTTTTTTCCCCCCTCAAGGCTAGTGCTCTACCACTTAACCCCAATCGCCCCCCTTTTTTTTTTGGGTCCGGTCCTGGGGTTTGAACTCTGGGCCTGGGCGCTGTCCCTCAGCTCTTCAGCTTAAGGCTAGCACTCTACCACTTGAGCCACAGCACCACTTCTGGCTTTTTTCTTTTTGCTTATGTGGTGCTGAGGAATCGAACCCAGGGCCTCATGTATGCAAGGCAAGTGCTCTACCACTAAGCCACCTTCCCAGCCCCCCACTCCCTTTTTTTTATGGTTAATTGGAAATAAGAGTCTCATGGACTTTCCTGCCTGGGCTGGCTTCAGACCACAATCCTCAGATCTCAGCCTGCTGGGTAGCTAGGATTATAGTCATGAACGACCAGCATTTAGCAGGGGCCTTTATTCTGTCAACTGCTATCTAACTGCAATGATGTCAAGCAATTAGCAGGTACACCTTAAATGCCACTGAGTTAGTGGAAGAGCAAATGGCTCCCCACACCAGCTGTGTGGGGGACAAGTGTTATGAATGTGTTCCTGGTGTCTAGTTGGGTCATGGGGCTTGTCTAGAACCAAAGAGTTGAAGAACAGATGTGGGTTCTCCAGCGACTCTCCCCTCTCTCAAGATGCCTTTTAGGGAGTAAGAAGAGTGAAGAAGTGCTCCCAAAAGGAAGATGAAGCCAGGCACTAGTGGCTCATGCCTGTAATCCTAGCTGCTCAGAAGGCTGAGATCTGACAATCTCAGATCTATGAGACTCATCTCCAATTAACCAGCAAAAAGTAGAAGTGGAGACATAGCTCAGGTCGTAGAGTGCCAGCCTTGCATGAAACGCTCAGGGACAGGGCCCAGGCCCTGAAAACTGGTGTACATGTGCATAAAAACACGCATGCACACGTGGGCACACACACACGCACACAGAAAAAGAAGAAACTTGGATGGAATTCTGTTGGGCTGCTCTTGCCCAATGGTGATAGGCCAGTGTGCATCTGTATTTAGAGGCTTACCTTCCCCACCTCCCCTCCCTTCCGGTTTGCCCTCTGCTTACCTGCTCTAAGTCCCAGTAGCTGGGGCTGTCCTCCTCTGAATCGTACAAGGAGAGCTCAGTGTCCCCTGGAGCCTGAAGGAAGGAAGCAGGAACAGGATCAGATGTGGCAACAACAATTGGTGCATGGTGGCAGGCTCTGGTGGGTGGCATGTTTCCTACATTTCTTGTCTCTTCCCTGACCTGGGCCATGGTGCAGTACATTGTGCCTTCAGCTTCCACTGGGCAGTTGTACTTAGGGCTGTCCTTTCTTCCCGGGCCAGTAGAGGCTGGGAAGGTTTCCTGGCTTGCAAGAGGCATTGGCTTGACCTTGGGGGAATTCCTTCCCTCTCTGTCTGGGCTTGCTTAACGTGTGGATAAACAGATTCACTTTGCTGGCTGCTTCTCCACCATGCTGCTGAGAGGAGTGTAAGTGCATGGAAGTTATATAGGAATATGCTCGGCAGTAGCTAAATACATGATATGAATGATTTATAAACGTGTAAATAATGTATGCTATATAAACTGTAACACTGGCCATTATTGGTGTAGTAACAGGATTCAGGCAGAAGCTATGCTTACGGATGAAGCTCGTGAAGCAGGAAAGCCTGGTGTTCCCTGGTCTCCCCCTTAGGATGAAGGGCAGGAGCCCAGGCCCAGTTTTTCCGGGCAGTCTTTCAGCACTTAGAACAGATGGCTTCACCTTCATTAGTCTCTTAAGGCAAAGAGCAAATCGTAGCTCTAGGGCCAGATTTTTTTTTTTAACAGAGGCAAGGGGGCACATACAGTCTAGGGAGGCCAAGGACAGGGCTGAGCTAGGAGAGGGGAGAGCTGGCTTGGGGAGACGGGAGCTAGGACCTCTAGTAGCCTGGGCTTGATTTCCCTCTCTTTAGCTTTCTAGAGTCCTAGATAGTTATTATTTGTGTCTCATTTGCATATTTCTTCCTGAGCTAGTAAATTAAATGTCAAGAGGCTAAGACAAAACTCAGCCTCAGCCTCTTCATCCATCATCAGTCTGAAATCTCCAAGCTCTGCTAAATTAAAACAGGCAGGCAAAGTCATCTCCCTCCTTTTCCCCAAGGCCTGTTTAGAAAGAGAAGGTAGGGAGAGACTGGCAAGGCTAGACTATGGGGTGTAATTTATGGCTAGAATATGGGGGCAGTGTGCAGTCAGGATGTTAATGTCAGCACAGTCTAAAATCATATATGAATAGCTCTCTGTGTGTGTGCACGCACGCACACACACACACACACACACACCAGTACTGACACTTGAACTCAGGGCCTGGCCACTGTCTCTAGCTTTTCCTTTTCTTCTGTTTTTGAGAATTTGGTCTTTTTGTTGTTGTTTGTGTCTGTCCTGGGGCTTGTCCCTGAGCTTTTGTGCCCAAGGCTATTTGTGCCTTGAGCTATTCTTACTTGAGCATTTCTTCTTAGCTTTTTCCTGAAGGCTGGACCTCTACCACTTGAGCCACAGCTCCACTTTGGGCTTCTTGATGGTGAATTAGAGATAAGCATCTCTAGTAGCTAGGATTACAGGCATGAGCCACCAATGCCTGGTTAAAATCATGTATGAATAGTTTTTGAGTGACCAATGTGTATAATTATCATTTAATCCTAAAACATGAGCAGAAGGAAAGCCCTGTGAGGTAGGTTAATGGTTGAGATTGAGAAATGTGAGATGGAAGAATGGGTTTTGTCACTCAAACCTTGTCTCTCCTGTGTACTCTGGGGTTCTTGATTCCTCAGGTGCAAAGAACTTACCCCTTGGAAGCTGTGTCCCGGGGCTGCTTCTCTGGTATTGGCCTGGGCAAAGAGGACAGCATCATGGATGCTGGGGAACACATGGTTGCGCTCTACACACCCATCCTCAAAGACACCTCCATGGCTGATGTCATTGTACACCTGGGCTGGAAAGAGGCAAGAGCACCTTCAGAGAAATAGAGGCCTTTGTGGGTTAGAGCTGTGGGAGGGGAAGGATGGTGGAGCGAGAACAGGGAGGAGGAACTGAGAGGCTCTAGTTTTGTGCTTTTTGGTGGTACCAGAGGGCCATAGCATTGGCCATTGCAATATCACCTCTGGCCAGCAGGGGGCAACATGAGTTTGAGGATGCTGAGTCTTCAAAAGGAAGACTGCAGAAGGAAGCCGTCTGATGCAGAGAATCTGTACTTTGGCTGACAAGTCTGTGAGAAACATGGCTATGGATTCTATCCTCTAAGGCCTATCCTATCTCTTTTTTACCTAGACTTACCCCTGACTTATCAAAGGGTTTCAGGAGGGATTGTCCCAGGAGGGTGAGAGGAATCCACTGATTAACTCTGGAGCAGGTTGGAGCAGGTCATGGTCATTGCAGATTGTCTCTGCAGGGTCTCTGAAGAGCCCAGAACATGCAGCCATGCTGGCCGGGACCCTCTGCAGGAGTCTCTCTCTCTCTCTCTCTGGGTCCTTGAACTCATCCCTGTACTTGGTACATATGCTAACTCTGAATATTCATTCCTTGATGAGCAGCCATTCCTTTGGGGCTATGTAATGTGTTCTTTTTTGTATTTAAGTGTGTGTGTGTTTAAGACTGTATTGTTATGTCCATGGATTGTTAGGGTGTATAGACAAAGATAAATCTGTGTTTATATAGATTCATGGAATTTCTTATTTGGAGAGGATCCCTGAGTTCATTAGTTAGTCCTCTTAATATACATGGATGCAAGCTGGGCTGCATCTATGAGCTGGCGGCTCATGTCTGTAATCCTAGCTACTCAGGAGGCTGAGATCTGAGGATTGCAGTTTGAAGCTAGCCTGGGCAGGAAAGTCTGCAAGACTTTATCTCTAATAAACCATACAGAAAAAGCTGCAAGTGGTGCTGTGGCCCAAGTGGTATAGTGCTAGCCTTGAGCACAACGAGTCTCAGGGACAGTGCCTAGGCCCTGAGTTCAAGCCTGGGGACCAGCAAAAAAAACTCCAACCCCCACACCCAAACATGACTGCAAGTGGATCCTTACACGGATAAAATGACCTAGCTCAGGATACACAGCAAATCTGTGATGGGGCAGATTAGAATTCTGTCTGTTCTCAACTCTACACCTTCTTCCAACTTCCCTGTCTCTTTTGACTTTGTATTTGGAGTGCTTAGAAGCGGCAGTAGTTTGGGGGCCTGTGGGGGTGTTCTCATTCAATGTCCCACCAACCTATTCCCACTCCATCCCCTTGTCTGTTTTTTTCTGTCCCCTAAAATGCCCCTCCTTTTCTTACCATGGATGTTTGCCAAGAAGACCTGGACTCCAATCTTCTTGTAGGTGGAGCTCAGCTAGAGTGTGGAGGGAGGGAGCGGAAAGGAAAGGAATGTTCTGAGTGGGCTTCAAAAGTGACCTACAAAACGCACTTCAGAAGGGAAGCCAAACAAATAAGCAGCCCTGAGAGCCCTGGCTGCCGGAGACAAAAATAGCAGCGAGTGAGCGCGCCCACCACTTCTCTCTGGAGTGTTGGCTGAAGGCTTCTCTGGAAAGTAGGGCGGAAATGGGGTTTTGCCAATGTGCTGGGCACTTCAAGTCACGGCAGCCATTTCTCTCTCTCTCTCTCTCTCTCTCTCTCTCTCTCATTGGACCTGGGGCTTGAACTCAAGGCTAGAGCTCTATCACTTTGAGCCACAGTGCCATTTCTGCTTTTTTTTTTTTTTTTTGCTGATCAAATTGGAGATTAGAGTCTCATGGACTTTTCTGCCCAGGCTGCCTTCAAACTGTGATCCTCAGATCTCAGCCTCTTGTAGCTAGGTGCTACTAGCGCCCAGCACTGAGGCCCTTCTTTCTTTCGTTCTATATTGTTTTGGTCGGTCATGGGACTTGAACTCTGGGCCTGGGCTCTGTCCCTCAGCTCTTCAGCTCAAGGCGAGCACTTTGCCACTTGAGCCATAGCACCACTTCTGGTTTTCTGGTGGTTTATTGGAGATAAGAATCTCATGGACTTTCCTGTTTGGGCTGGCTTTGAACCATAATCCTCAGATCTCAGCCTCACAGGTGGCTCACACCTGTGCCCAGCTGAGGCCCTTCTTATGGGATTAGATCTTGGCACTCGGTGCTTAATACCGAGCTCTGCCTCTTTCCACAACTGTGTGGCTTTAGGCAGAGGCGGGGGGGGGGGGGGGGGGGGGGGGTGGCGGGGGTGGGGAGAGGACCTTGGCTCAGGCCTAGATGACAGGTCTAAGCCAGGGAAGCAGGTAAAGACCCAAAGCTGGGGAAAGGGCCTTCTCTCTGTCCCCAGCTGGTGGTAACCTCAGCCTGTGCATCCTCTGCCCTTCTGTCCTCCTGCTTTGCTGACTCCCTGGTCCTAGAGGGCCCACTGAAAAGCCACCCAATGGGCATCATCCATTCAGCATATTTGGCCCAAGGAGTGGGGTGTTGAAAGTTTCTTCTCTCTTTAGTTGGCCAGTATATACGGGGAAGGCAAGCTAACTTCTCCTGAGGAACCTGGCATGGGTTCCTGGGCACCTGAGTGGGAACTCGAGGCGGCCTGTGCCAGGGCTGGCAAGCAGTGGGGCCTGCGGCTGGGCAGCCCTTTCTAGCTACCCAATGCCCAGCCTGCTCTGTAGGGAGCATCATCCTGGTTACTTCTGGAGAGAAGACAGGTCCTTAGGACCCTAACCTCCCTGGCTTGTTTAAATGAAGACCTTGCTGGGTGCCAGTGGCTCACATCTGTAATTCTAGCTCCTCCAGGAGGCTGAGGATCATGGTTCCAAGCTAGTCTAAGCAGGAAAGTCCATGAGATTCTTATTTCTCATTAACTATGAAAAAGCCAGAAGAAGAGTATGCCTCAAGTGGCAGGGCACTGGCCTTGAGTGAAAAGGCCCAGGCCTTGAGTTCAAGCGCCCCCCCCCAATGGGGACCCTAAGGAAAGGGAGCCTGGGGGATTGGGAGAGGGAGGCTCTGCACTCTTCCTCTGAGGATTCACCTTGGCCAGGGTTTTGATCCCCATCAAATCCACAAAACTGACTCCGCTCAGGTCAAGGATGAGGGTGTGGAAGGTGATGAAGGGCGGAACGCTGGCCAGAGGGTCACTGGGCTCCCGTGGGCACTCAGCAGAGGCTGGGGGCTCACAGGGGGTGGCTGAGGAGGCATCGGGGCTGAAGGTAATGTGGGAGATGCTGGCGCCATTTGCAGGAGTCTGGTTATTGTTGGGGTCGGTCGGGGAGGGGCTCTCGAAGTCTTGCTGCAGCTCCTGCAAGGAGACAGTCTGTGGAGGGGGAGGGGGAGGAGGCAGAGTCAGAGGCCATGGGACTGGGGAAGACTTGGCTATAGGAAAAGCCAGGGAGAGGATGCGGGTGGAGACCAAGAGCTCAGCTTGGTGGCATAGACACCGGCCCCTTCCTGAGGTAGGGCCGGCACAGTTGGTACCACACAACCTGGACAAAAGCAGACAAGCCTTCCAGAGAAACCCCAGCGCCTCTGCCCCTCTCTGTTTGGGGAGGAAGACCCTTTAGGGATAGCTGATCGCTTTTCTGTGTTTGTCCATATTTGCCTGCTTCTCCCAAACTCCCACAACCACTCCATCCCCTTGCCAGTCTGGATTGGCTGGGCACCAGAACATTCGCTACTGCCCCTTATCTGGCCCTGCTTAGAGAGGTTCAGAGCCAGGACAAAGTGCAGACATGACCCAGGGAGCTGGGGAGCCAGAGGCAAGAGCAGACGAGGCCTGAGGTCTGTTCCTGGCCTTTGTTCACCTTGGTTTTCATGAAGAGAGACTTCCTCCGCTGCATGGGAATCGCTCCCCTCTTCTCCTGCTTCCTGAGGCACTTCTGCTTGGCGAGTAATACTTTCTGGGGATCCATCCCTGTCTGTGGGGAGACAGCCAACAGCCATCCTGACCTGTACCTTGGGTGGGGTGGCCTGCTGTTGACTCCCAGCCCGCTCTGCTTCCATTTTCCAGCTACTCATTGTTCAGCCCTTCAGGTCACCAAGGCCTGAGCCTTACCTTGGCAACAACCTTTTGCCTGAAGATCTCAGAGTTGGCAAAGTAGAGAGGGGAGCAGTAAGTGACGATCTTAATCCCCTCCATTTCCTGGGCCTGTGACAGGGAGACTGAACTCAGGTTTTGGAAATGTCTTCACTATCTTTTTTTTCTTGTCAAGTTTTTGTTTTGTGTGTGCAAACTACTTCTTGGGGAGAGGGACAGAACAAAAGAGAGAAGTCATCAGCTTGGTTGACCTACCCGGCTGTAGGTCTTGGGGTTCACGTAGATGTCGGTGTCCATGACCTGGGCCAGAGCGTAGCCATTCCGACTAGATAAGGGAAACAAAAACGTAAGCCATGCCACAGGCCTACAGGTCTGGGATGATGCTGGGGGCGGGCTCACAAGGGCCCAGGGCAGGCCAGGATCCTGTTCTCATCCGGGACTTGTTTGTGCTTATCTTTCTGCATAGGAGACACATGTTTGGTGGCCTGTGGCTAGACTAGGACAGGTAAGTTCCCAAGCACGTGACATGGCCTCGAGACTGGGCCTTGTCTGACAGGCCTTAAAATCACCACTTCCTGATTCTTCATCCTCAAGAAGAGAAGACCTTCCCCATTCTCCTTCCTCTGGCCCTGCCCCTCTGTCTGGTGCCCTCAGCCTAGATGACTGGATCCTTTTACAGGAAGGGCACAGCCGTAGTCCTCTGCCCTGGTGCCCCCCACCTCCCCCAGGATACAGTGACCCCACTACTGTGCCCAAGTGGGAGGGGCTGTTACTTACAACTGCGTCTGGAAGACCACAACCAGGACTGAGAAGGCCACACCCACGGCCACTCCGTATGGCAGGCTCAGGAAGAAGGAGGAGAGGAAGCTTACCACCCACACGCACTGTGAAGAGAGAGATGTCGAAAGTAGGGCTGGGGAGCAAAACGGCCTCTTTCAGGAAGCCTTCCTGGATTAGTTTAGCCCTTCTCAACAAGCACTATCTCAGACTATGCCTTTTTTTCCTTTGTCATAATATTTTTCTCAGTGGTGTATACATTTGTGCTTTGGCTATTCTTATTTCCCTTAGATTGAGTGTAGCTGCATGATCTTACCTATTAGATTGAGTGTAGCTGCATGATCTTACCTATTAGATTGAGTGTAGCTGCATGATCTTACCTATTTTTCCCCTCCCTCCCTCCCTTTCTCCTTCCCTCCATTCTTCCCTTCCTCGTTTCCTCCCTCCCTCCCTCCCTCCCTTCTGTCTGTCTGGAGATCTGTCTGCCATGTTGGAGATCAAACTCAGGACCACACATGTGCTAAGAAAATTCTGCCTTTTTATAGCAACTCTAGCCTACATAGGGAGAGGAAGGGGTGAAGAAGGGATGAAGGCATGCACAAGCCCCTTGCTAGTGAGGGCTTCAGTGGGCAGTCAGTAAATGGAAATTTCCATTTGTTCTCATAGGGAGCTATATATGCTTGAAAGGGGTTGAGCTCCTGAACTGATGGCCTGGGTCTGGGGCCTGGTTGTGTGGGTCATCCGATACAGGCCCTTAGGAGCCCTCAAATGAGCCCTCTCAGTGAAATCAGTCTGTTTGGATTCCTATGGCAAGGCTCCAGTTGAAGCCAGGTGCTGGTGGCTCATGCCTGTAATCCTAGCTACTTAGAAGACTGAGATCTGGGTGTCATAGTTTGAAAGCCAGTGTTGGCAGAAAAGTCTGTGAGACTCTCACCACCAATTCATCAGCCAAGAGCCAAAAGTGGAGGTGTGGCTCAAGGAGTAGAACACCAGCCTTGAACAAGAAAGATAAGAGAAAGCACCCAGGCCCTGAGTTCAAGCCTCAGTACACACACACACACACACACACACACACACACACACACACACAGAGCTCAAGTGGCCACATGAGGATGGGGTGTGGTAAAAGCAAGTCCTTGGGGTAGAATTAGGACCACATGTTTTCTTCCTTTCTCCATTGCTCATTTACTGGTATGGGCGGGGGGAGAACCCCAGATGGAACCCCAGATGGATCACCACCTCTCTGGCTTGTAGATTTCCTTTCCTGAATTGCATGAGTGAGCCACACCTCCCTTTCCCAGGAGGCAGGACAACCTGACCTGGAGATCCCACCTAGACTTGGCCACTTTCTTCCTCTGTGGCTTTTGAGGGTTTTACCCAACCATTCTGAGCCTTGGCCAGCCATCTTTAAAGGAGGTGAGTAAATACCCTCTAGGTTTTGATAGGACTTAACGAAGATAATGCAGCATTGGGATATGTTGCCATAGCCTTTATCACCAGCGGTCCCGGATGGTACAGTGGGGCAGGGCCACTAGCCCCAGTAAGGTCTGCTTGGGGAACTCTCATGGTTAAGCTGGGCTTTCCCAATGAAATCTCACTTAATCCTCAGGAGCAGAGGATAATGCAGAATCTGACTTCACAGCATTTAGAAATGAGGAAATAGAACCCCAAAGACGTCTCATCACTTGCTCAACACCCTGGGCTTCACATTGCTTTTTGTTTGTTTGTTTGTTTTCAGGCTTTTCTATGAAATGATTTCCTTTTGCATTTTTGGAACTATAAGTCATAAAAATAGTTAAGACCTAAATCTTATTGAGTATAGATACAGTTCAGGTAACATGCACTTTTCTTCTTTTAACCCATTTCTTTCCCAAAAGCAACCCAGGGGTTTCAAGAGCATGAGATGGTCACTTCACAGATGAGATGCTGAGAGGCAAAGGAACTTGTAGTAAGACAAAGTCAGGAAATGGTTGAGTTAGAACCTGATCATCAGAGGTCTTACTCCAAAGCCTGGACTCTAGATCACTGCACTGTGCTAATTTGGAGCCCAGAGAGCTCATGCTGAGGTCAGGTCACAGAAGGTCAAGGGCATGGATGGGTGCCCGGAAGCTACCCAATACCTACACAGTCCAGCTTGCTCTTTCTCCACAGGTAATAGGGGTCCGCAAGTTGTTTAAGAGAGTTCTTGAGGTTGACAGCTATCAGGGCTCCCAGCACAGCCTGGAGAAACAGAACATTGTTCCCTGTCACCTGTAGGAAGGACCAGGATCATATACTTGATCCTGGAGCCTGGTAGGATAGAGTTGGAGTTCTAGACCATTCCCCCACAGAGCCCTCAATCTCTTCTCTCGAGATAGCCACTAGAGGGCTGGGATTCATCCTCACCCCATGTTTGTCTTTCCACTTCCCTTGTCCCTAAACCCTCCTTGAGGGTGTATGAAGGTGTCTAGCAACCACAAGTGTCTAACATACTGCCTACGGAGAAGACTCTGAGGCCAGATTAGATGCTCAGCCTCAGTTTCCCTCATCTAAAGTGGGGACAATAAAACCAGTCTCGTCTCCTGGCAATCTGTGAATCTTGCCCAAGCTCTCTCTACCCTCTGCTTTCCCACTGAGCTCTTACCTTGGGAAGAGGATACAGGTAGGACCCCAGGACCAGCATGGTGACCATCACCACCAGAGACACACACAGGCTCGCCACCTGTTCAGAGAAAGAGTTGGGCACAGCTGGGCATGATGGCTCAGTCATGCCTGTAATCCCAGCACAAAGGATGGTCAGACTGAGGTAAAAATGAACTATGATGTAGTGACACCCTATCACAAACAAACAACAAACAAAACAAAACAGAGTTGGGGGCAAGGGCCAGCTGTGGAAGTCTTACTTTTGATTAATTTCCTCCGGATGCCTTTTGGTGCCATGGAGATTTGGGAAGATCTAGGCCGGCCTGCAGCGCCAGCCTTGTCTAGGACAAATGTCCCACTTTCTTAGTCTAGGGCTCACCTGGGATTTTCCTCCAGCTCCATCCACAGCCAGGGTGACAGAGAGGGCACAGCAGATGACATGGATTTTAAAGAAAGAGCCAAAGAAGTTGCTGCAGCCCAGGGCGATCATCTCCTGGGGGGAGGGGGGAGGGAGGAGAGGGGCAGGGTTGGTAGAGAGCAGAGCCCCAGTCATGGCAGCCATGCAAATGGGGAGCCAAGAGAAGGTCAGCCTCTTGGTATGAATGCCAGAGTCCTCCACTCTTATTGCTCAGCTCAGCTCAAAGAGCTGTTTTCCCCTTCCTCTCTCCTCCTCCTTCCTTCTCCCTCTCCCTCTCTTCGTATGGAACCGAGGACTGAACCCTGCTCTCCAGTTAGCTGTATTCACAGCCCCCATGTGCTATCTCATGTTGGTTCATCCTTGGTGGTGACCAGAACTACCTGGTTAGAATCCACATCGTAGCCATGCCTGCTGGCCAGGGTCCGGCCCATCGCCAGGTTGATGACGTAGCCCACAATGGCCAGGGAGAAGGCTGTGCCCACCATGTCCTTCCACTGCCACACCATGGGTGACACTGGAGTGGGGAACCTGCCAGAAGGCCAGAGAAGAGGCAGGGCCCAGGGGTGTGAGGAGAGGGAAGGCAGCTGAATTAGTTTTCAGAGACCTGCCAGGTCCCCGCTGGGTGCCAGGGTCTTGGCACAGCTTGTCCTACCCAATTTCACTGACGACAACCCCTTTCCCCACCACAGGGCAGGCCACAAAGGAGGCACACCTGAATCCCAGATTCTTTCCGCTCATTAGTTGACAGACTTACAGATGGTGTTTCCCGCTCCCTACTCTCCCTCCCCTCCCCACGCCCAGTGCTGTGAGGCCTTTCCCCCCTCCCCTGCTTCAGTTCTGCACAAGCTTTGCCCATGTCATCCTGGCACCCAGCACAACCCAGAGTTTGATTGATCCTCACACCTTCCATTCTGCATGGCTAACGCAAGCCAATGCGCTAGAGCAAGGCCTAGAGCGAACAAGCAGCTGATCAGAGAGAATTGTTTAACAGGAGTGGGTGCCTGGGCTTGTCGCTGGAGTGAGGCAGTGAAGGCTCACTTTTCCTAGAGCGGCCAGCGCGCTCAGGGCTGGCTGTGTGGCTCTTCTAGGCAGTAACTAGTACTAGTACAGTAAGTAGTTCTAGTACAGTCGTCCCTCACTATATTGTGGTTCACATAGTGCAGCTTCACCGTCTGAGCACGGGTTTTTAAAGAAAATACATTTATAGCGATCCCTCGCCTATTGTGGGAGTTGTGTTCCAGAGACCCCCCCTGATAAGTGAAAAGCCACAAAATGGTAATACGTGACATGGTGAGGGATGATTAACGCTCCGGTTTCATGGATTTTCACCTATTGTGGGGGTCTCTGGAGCGTAACCACTGTAATTCATATGTGGTCAGGGTCATCCGGGTTCTAATGAATTGTCAAGGTCTTATCACCACCATCTAAGCCCAGTCTTTGGTGTGGAGTGGGGGCGTCGGGTCTCTGGGCCACCTGGACTCACCCACGTTGAATTTCTCCCACTATCTGCATGTGATACTTTTGGGGCATCTTATAGCTCCCAGAGATAGCCGTCGCCACCACCACCTGCAAATCCCAAAGCAGAGAACAGGGATTGTCCCGAAGTTGATACCAAGCAAGCCATCTCTCCCAACTCTCTCTTTTCATCAGGGGCCTCAAATCTCAGTCTCTGGCCTTCTTAGGGCCATGTATGTGGAAAGGGGAGGGGGGAGGTTGAGGGACAATCTGAGGAGGAGAGGAACAGGCACCACATACAGGGGACAGGAATGGATTCACGTGTGACTTCCTGTTTGTGGGGATAACGGGGTGGTGGGGCGGGGGGAGGGGAGGGTTCCCCCTGCTCCTGTCTACCTCATAGCCACTCCATCCTGAGGCACAGGCAGGGTTCTTACCACGATCATCTCTGTGGGGATGGGAAAGCGGATCTTGTGCATGTAGCGAGCATTGAGCTCCTTCACCAACACCAGGAAGATGCCGCTGATGAGGGCGAAGACCAGTGAGGCGATGTTGGTATGGGGGAGGTTTTTGCAAATGTCAATGAAGGTCTAGGGGAGAGAGCATCATGCTCACAGGCTCCCATCCTTTCTTCCCATGCTGCCCTACCCTTGGGTGCCTGACCCGGGGAAGAGATGCCTTCATGGTCCATGGAGGTCCCAAAGAGGTTCATTTCCCACTACTTTCTCCAGTACACATCAGTAGATCTTTCTGGAATTGAATGCTTTGTTTTCTCTAAAGGAGGAAGGATGAAGGTTGGACTTAAGGAAGGTCTTCTTGAGCTGGGAGGGGTTGAGACACTGGAATGAGGAACTAGTGGAAATGTACCTCTGGTTTTCTGCTGGAATTAACTACAGAGAGCCTCCATGAGCCTTTGAGATCACTGGGGCGGGGGAGGGAGGGGAAACCCTGGAAAGTTCTCTGTCCAGGGGCTCAGCCAGCCCTTGTTTGAGGCTATGTCAGAATAAGCAGCTCAGAACTTCCAGAGGCAGGAACCTCTGCCCCTCTGCCTGCCCCAGGCCCACCCCATCAGCAAGACCCGTCTCCCAGACGTACCAAGACGATAGAGCCGGGGCCCGTGTAGGAAGGGACGGTCAGGCCGAAGATGTACTTGAGCACAGAGATCAGAATCTGCAGGCCAGCTGCTGTCATGAAGCCCCGGATGAAGGACTCAGAGAGGTAGATAGCCACAAAGCCGAACTGCACAATACCCAGGCCAATCTGAGACAGAGACAGAGATGGTGGGGGAGACCATAGATGGTCAACCCAACCCCGGCTTGGAGTTCCACATGGTCCTGTAGAGAAAGCAGCCCTCCGTGACCTTGTCCTGCCCTGCCTGGTGCCTTAAGTGGTTAGCCCCAGACCTGTGGTCCATTAGGGCATGGACCTCTTTGTCCCTCCACCTTCCAGTTCCTTATCTGAAATTGAGCCAGGTCCTCCCCTAAGGCTTCCTCTCTCAGTCAATGACACTGTCATGTACCTTGTTGCCTAATCGGAAACTCGGGGAGTCACCCTCCCTCACCTCCCACATCCAGTCTATCACCCAGCCCTGTTAATGCTCCATCCTTCCACTCCCCCCCCCCCCAGCTCCCTCGCCACGGCCACTACCCTACTCTAGCCCCTGTCACTCCGGCCGAGCCTCTCTCAAATCGCCCAACAGGTCTCTGCCTTGCTTCAAACCCACCTGTCACCAATTTCTTATAGCCCCAACAATCCTTTCAAAGTGTCAGCTTGACCCAAGACAGGCTCCAGCTATCCCTGGCTCCTTGCCTACCTTTCTGGCCTCTTCTTTTAGGCCTCTCTCCCCTAGGCACAGCAAACTCCTTGCTTTCTCCTCCCTTGTCAGATTATACTGTCGTGGGCCCCAGTGCTCTTGGGGTCTGGACCAGCTTGGCTGGCTGGATCAGCCTTTCTGCTTGTTCGTTCAGTTATTGCTAACTTTTACTCTTGCTTCCAGACTAAAGTCCAGGGTCACCTCAGCTCTTCCCTGACTCTCTCCTGGGTTTCCCCAGTGTTTGCAAGTAACTCTACAGGTGCGGCTTATCTCCATGTACACAAATCTCTCTGTTGACATGGCTACTTCCTTTGTCTGGCTTGGGAGCAACTTGTGAACTGGGCTCACTTTCTTACTTCTCTTCATATCCTCAGGGCCTAGCCCAGTTCCTATCATGGCAAAACACCTGAAAAACATTACATGAACGAATGAGGGAAAGGTGATTCCTGAGACTGTGCTTGCGCTTGTGCTCTTCCCGCTGGCTTCCCTCCCGAAATCATAGAGGAAAATCTCTGTGTTCAGTTCACAGTGCACCCCTGGTGCTGTGGCTTGGGGCAGAGGAGGCTGGAAGGGGCTGAGGGCTGGGTTTCTCCAAGGTGAATTGGAGAGAGGCTTCGAGTCTTTTAGGCAGACTTTACACTCAGGACAGCTTTATTTAGTATTATTGCTAGTCTAGGTAAAGTCTTAGATACAGGTAAGAAGATACTCTGTGTGTATGTGCTGGTCCTGGGCATGAGCTCAGGGCCTGGGCACTATCCTTGAGCCTTTTGTGCACAAGACCAGTGCTCTACTACTTTTAGCCATAGCTCTATTTTTGGCTTTTTGGTGACTGATTGGAGATAACAGTTTCAAGGACTCTCCTGCCCAGGCTGGCTCTGAACCTCAGATCTCAGCCTCCTGAATAGCTGGGATTACAGGCATGCACCACTGGCGCCTGGCATTTCGACCTTTTAGGCCTTGGGAGAGGGAAGAGACGGGAGGCAGAGCCCTAAGTCAGATTTTGCATCCCATGGGGTGGGGGCTTTGAGGCAGGGCCAGGGCAGCCTGACAGCAGAGGTGAGGCCCTGACAGGGCTGGGGGATTGCCCCTCTCACCTGAATGACGGCAGTCAGACAGGCGAGCGTGGCTGACACGTGCAGCCTCTCCGCCTCCATGGCTGCTGTGTCTATGTAGCTCTCATTGGTGGCATTATTGAAGACCCGGAAATTCGACTCTGGGGCCAGCTGCAGACAGATGTTACCCACCAGGATGCTGATAACGGCAAAGGTACCTGTGGTGCCCCACCCAGTCAGCAAAAATCAGAGGTTTGGAGCACACCCATGGAAACCAGCCAGGGGCCCAGGCCTGCATTGTTCCTCCTGGGGGAAGGATTACTGCATAGCCCTGGGACCAGGCCCTTTTGCTCCATCTCCCTTGGCACCAGAGAACTCCAAACGTGCCTGCAGTGGCCTGCCAGGGCCCACCTGGGGGGTTGATGGAGATTTCTCACATCTGTTCAGCTTATGTAGTATACGGCTTGTTTGGCCAAGAAGCCCTTCTCTCCTTCCAGAGAGGAAGACGGAAGAGGCCATGCCGACTGAGCTCAGTGATTTCTCCAAGGTCATCAAAGACCTGGTACTCTCCCTCCTCTCCCCCACCCCCCAACCAGGTCACCCTGCCTGCTGATAGGGGAGAGGCCTTACCTGGCACCATCTGGTGCACCCCCCCCAGGAAGAAGTAGGTCAGGAGGGGGAAGAAGGAGGAGTAGAGGCCGTTGACTGCAGGAAGGTTGGCCAACAGAGCAAATGCCATGCCTGCAGGGCACAAAGAGATGAAAGGTTCAGGAGTGTGGTTGGCTTACAGTGGTCACGGAGGGACTGGGTGGAGGTGGGAGAATGTGGGGGAGCCCAGGCACCTTGTGGCACCTGGATACATCCCCCGCTGAGTCCACCCAGCAGGTCTGGTATGATGTAGTCTTTGATCTTGTACTTGGGGAGCCAGGACAGGATAGGCAGCAGCCCAAACACCACGGTTTTGACCTTGGCCGAGGAACACCTGCAGGGGAAGAGGACAGGTTGGAAAGGGATGATAATATCTTACTCATTCTCAATTTGTTCAGATCTGGCAGGAGTCTGAGTCCATATGGTGCTGAATGCCAGGAAAACTCAGGGGAGAAGGCTGGAGCTTCGTGTGTGTGTGTGTGTGTGTGTGTGTGTGTGTGTGTGTGTGTGTGGATAGGTACTGCCCTTTAGTTGTTTCACTCAAGGCTGGCATTTACCACTTGAGCTACACCTCCACTTGCAGCTTTTTGGTGGTTAATTGAAGCGTCTCATAGACTTTCCTGTTCAGGCTGGCTTCGAATTGTGAGCCTCAGCTCTCAGCCTTCGGAGTAGCTAGTATTACAGATGGGATGAACCACTGGCACGCAGCAGCAGGAACGTTCTCTGGAGAATTTGCAAAGCATCAGCTGGAGCCTTTTTACCCCTAGCTCCTCACTTGGTAACGCAATAAGACTTGGTTTCCAGGTACGACTTTTCATGGTAGTTCAGCCTTCTGAGGTGTCGGGTCCCCAGCTCAGGTGACGTTTGTCCAGGAAAAGCTCCTCTGAGATCCTACCTTCCTCAGTGAACATAGGCCTGGCCTCATCCGGGTCTTCCACAGTTCCAGCTGCAACTTAAGTTGTAATTATTTGTCCTTCAACTGTCTCTAGTAAGCAAAGCCCATGTGACAAGAAGTCTGTCTCTGCATTCTCGCATACCTTGTGTTTTATAGAAGCATGCCCCGTGCGCACTTGTTGCATAAAAGAATGACTGCACAAGTAATGGATGGTTAATACTGAACAGCAGTCTCAGTGATGGCTGCCTGCTGGTCTTCTTTCTCGAACTTTCTCCCAAAGGCAGGTTCTGTGGTGGTTGTGAGGTGCTTCTCTGTGGACTTGTCATCCTTTAGTGTGATGGCTCCACAACCCGAGTTCTCCAATGAGGAAGAGAGAATGGAGAGGGCACTCCTTGGCCCCCATTGAGGAGAGAGTACTGAGTTCTGATGCTCTCCCTGTTTGTTGAACACCTTGAAAGCTTTTCATGGGAACCCAGGAGCGGCGGGAACAAGGGCCTATGACTTCAAGGTGGACAGCCGGTAGATTGATGACAGGAAGAGGGTGGCGATTTGCTTTTCTTCTCCTAGGTGAAGGAACTCAAATACTCAGGACCCAGCTGGTGACTCACTGCCCTCCTCTGATTAAGCTTCCTTTTCTGCTCGGCACCAATTCTTGCTTTTTGCTGTTGCTCAACAATAGTTTCCCTGACACTGGGGCTCCTGGATGTCACCCAAGGCTGGAACCGACACAGACAATGCTTTGTGCCTTAAAAAAAAAGTCTAGGCAGATTTTTCTGTCCCCAATAACATCCTGCAGAAGAGTGGCTTGCTGCTTGTCTCCTCTGAGGTACATGGGTGCCTGTCCTGTCTCTGGACTGTGGAAGGGGAGGTCTGTGTGTGAAATTGTTTAATCCACCCCTACAGCCTTGTCCGAGGAGAGAACCAACCCTTGCAAGGGCTCTACTAGGTTTCTTTGTGACAGAGAAAAGTGGACTCCCAAGCAGACAGCTGGCTGGGGGAAGAATAATAACTCAGAGGCTCATTCATGCACAGCTTTACGTGCAATTCGGGCCATATGTTGGGCAAAGCAATCTACCGTCTGAAAGAAGAGAGTTAGAAACAGATGCCAAACACCTGCCCAGAGGCCCCAGGGGCCGGAGGGAAGTGGAGGGAGGGATAAGCTTTCTAGACATTCTTTCGGCAGGTATTTGTGGGAACACCTTCTGTGTGCAGGCACTGCGCGAGGCTCCGATGCCAGCAACATGGGGATTGTCAGCTCCCCGCCTCCTTTTAACTTTTTATCACCCCAACCTTTGAATACAACAGGAGATCCCCATGCTTTTTCCAGCACAAAGACTAAATCCAAGGGCTGCTAGAACCCACCTGCCCGAGGGGCCCAGCTACAGGAAGCGAGTGGCCAGGCACTGGACACCAAGGCCTTGACTATAACTGCAGAGATGGAGCCTCCTGACAGACGCAGGGCTGGGCTGGGGCTTTGAGAAAAAATCTCAAGTGGGTGATTCCCCCAGCCTGAACCAGTTCCACCTGCAGCTCCACTTCAGTCCCTGCTAGTGACCTCAATCCAGGTAACTGAATCAGCTGTTTCCTCAGTGGCACGAGGGAGCGGAAACCAGCCCGCAGCCAGGCCTGCACAAGGCCTGCCAGAAGTCTGGGAAGAGAGAGGGTGAAGCTTGTGGCCTCGGGCTCCTGGGGGTGGTCTGTGTGTGGGGAAGTGGGTACCGGAGCCTCTGGGCAGCCCCTTCCTCTGTACCACCACAGTCTAAGAATCAGAGAACAGAAAGAGCCTGGGGGCTGGGAAGATCTCAACATGGAAGGCTCCAAAGCACCCAGGAACTTAAGGCCTCCTCTAGGAATTCTCTAGACCCAGGAGGAAAAGAGAGGAGAGGGTATATCTAGGGTGGTCGTAGTGTCAGGTGTTTGGGCAAGTAGGGAGCAGGGCACGGAGAGGGGCTCTGAAGCCTCCTACTCTCCATGTCAAGCTGTGTCCATCTACTGCTCCTTCGAAGACTTGAGAGATGGATCAAGACAACGGGAAGGCCCCACGTAAGTGGCCAAGGGTAACCTTTCTGAAATGGTGGGTCGTTCTTGATCCTTCTCTTATCCTCTCTAGGAGTCTCAGATGGATGAGGTGTTAGGCTCTTAAATTCTGGGTTCAGAATCTCCCCTCTCCTCCCCACAGTTTCCCTAAGCCCAGTCTTAGAGTCCTGGTGGAGGAGGCCTATTCCATTTTGGTAAGGAGCAGAGCAAAGAGGAGTCTGGGCTCTCAGCCACATTACCTGAAGGCATTTCGAAGTTTCTCTCCCACTGGGTACGTCCGCTCCTTCTTCTCAAACTCATCATCGAAGAGGGTAAGAGAGTACGCAGTCCTGTCTACCACGTAGCGGGGCCTGGGCTGGCTCATGTCTGGGGCATTTATGAGCTTGGGGAAAAGCAGAGGAGGAGAGGGTGAAGGGGCATCACTCAGTGCCAGCCGGGCCTTCTCTCTCTAGTCCTCAGGGAAGCCAAGATTTATTCTGGTCTTCCCCGCCCCCATGCAGCCAGGTGCCTCCCTGCCCTCCCTCTGTCAAGTCTTTCTGCCAGACTCACTTCTTTTGGTGCCTTCCTCCCGAGCACTGATGATACACACGGCTCGCCCTGGCTGTTTTGTTTGGCGCCCAGCACGTGGCTGGCATGCCACACACCTGTGACATCACTGTCACCCCCGCCAAACACCAGGCTCAAGGGAGATGGGAACACAAGAGTAGAGGCCACAACTGCATTCAGCACCTGGAGCTGATGGCTATGGTGACCCCCCCCCACAAACCACTCTCCTTCTAGGCCTCAGTTTCCCTGGCAGAAAGGCTCACCCCCTTTAGCCAGTCAGCTTGGAATAATGAGAGAAAACAGCCTGCCCGGAGGCAGGGGGATGACCAAGCTGACCTCAGGAGGACCTTCTTGAATAAGACACCTAGGACTTCACCAACAGGTTTCCCCAGGAGGGACAATGGTGTGTGGGGGAACTCAACATGGTACACTGCCAGCAGTCTCTCCCACAGCTTCCTGGGCCTAGCCTTTCCCCCACCCTTGTGTACTGGTCTCTGCGCTTTGCGCAACCCTACTGGCACTCCAGTAACTGAGCTGGGTAGAGCTGGGTGCCAGGGCCCTTGAGGAGTTCTCTCTCCCTCTCTCCCCCCTCCCTCCTCTAATTTCCAGTCCCTGGTCCTGTCCCTGTGCCCTAGAGCTGGGAAAAGCTGCTTTGATGGGGATGCTAGGAGGGAGGACTTATATTTGGGAAGTGGCGTGTATGTAGTGGCTGTGGCCAGTTTGGAAAAAGATTGGAGATGAGGTTGGACAGGTGTAACCCCATGGGGTGAGGGTGGCAGTTGGGGATGCCTCTGGACTCCCTACGGGAGGACCTGGGGGGTTGGGGAGGTTAGCAGAGGAGTGTAGGCTGCTGGATGGCTTTTGTGGAAGGTTCCAGAAACCGGGCTTAAATCCTGGCTTTACGAGGGAGGGAGACCGCCTTGGTATTGTCCCTGAGCCATTTTGTGCTCAAGGCTAGCACTCTACCATTTGAGCCACAGTGCCACTTCCTGCTTTTTTCTGAGTAGTTTATTGAAGATAGGAATCTCACAGACTTTCTTGCCCAGGCTGGTTTCAAACCTTGATCCTCAGATTTCAGCTTCCTGAGTAGCTAGGAGTACAGGTACCTAGCAACACTGCCTCTTTGAACCTCATATTTCGCATTAGCAAAATGAAGGCAGGCTCCTTTCTCACAGAGTAGTTATAAAAATCAAACCAGTTCATCAAGAAGCATTTAGGTAAAATGGAAAGAATGATACAAACGCGAGTTCCTGCCCTTAGCAAAGTTGTGCTCAAGTGGAAGCACCTGGGTTGGGTCATCCAGGTCCTTTGGTGATGAAATGGACCTCCATTGAGATTGACAGATAAAGGTGGGACTTCTGGTAAAACTCCACGATGCTACCCAATGGAAGGTCATTTGGGGGCCGGGGGTCCAACCCCTGGCATTTAGTAAGGACACTACAAATGCTTGTTGAGTGAATCATCCAATGGTGTTTGGAGGAGACATGGGCAGAAATGAGCGAGAACCATGGCATGTGAGACATTTCCAAAGGACAAATGCTGAGTGGCACCAAACAAATAGCTCGAGTTTTAGAGCCAGAAGGACCTGAGTTCAAAAGATTTTTTTCATCTGTAAATGGGATAATAACAGTCATAGGCAGTTGCTATGAGGATTCACTGAGATCAAGTGTGCAGAGCACCCTGGCCTTTCCTGGGCCCTCCATAAATGGTAACGGCGGTGATTACTATTATTAAAGTGGGGAGTGGCTTTCTTCCTTAAAGAAAGACCATTTCCAGGCCTTCACACTTCACCTTACATGAGGTAAGGTGGGCTCGTTCCTCCCTGTCCAGGGTCTGACTTTCTAGCTTGTTTGCTCTTTGGGAGTAATGAGTAGGGGAGGGACTCAGAGCTCTGGACCTGGCTTTAGAAATAGGCTCATTTTCAGTTAGGGAGTGGGTCCCAGGCCAGGGACCACACACAAAGAGATGACAAAAAACGTCAAGGCAGAGCCAGGTGCCAGTGGCTCTCACATGTAACCTTAGCTAGATCTAAGGATGAAGGTTTGAAGCCACCATGACAGAAGTGTCTATGAGATTCTGGTCTCCAACCAACCACCAAAATCCCAATGTGGAGGTGTGGCTCAAGGGCTAGAGTATCAGCCTTGGGTAAAAGAAAGCAAAGGAACAGTACTCAGGTCCTGAGTTCAAGCCCCAGTACCAACACACACACACACACACACACACACACACACACACACACACACACGCACACACGCACACGCACACACACGTGCACGCACGCGCGCGCACACACACACACACAGAGGTAGGCTACACCAGGCAAGGAGAACCCTGTAGAAAATGACATTTTGAAGCTTTTACTTCCATGCTAGCTAGCAAGTGAGGACCCTTGAAGCTTTCACCCAGACTGCTTTCAAAGTCTATCTGTTCCAGTAGTAGACTTATGGGGGTAGGGTGCTATCAATATCTCATCCTTTTCAACTGTTTTACCCCAACAATTCTCCCCATTTCCTTAGTTCCCCATTTTCTTTCTCTCTGCCACCCAGTCCTCCTGCCCTTTCCCCCTTCAGCCTTCACATTCAGCTCTTCAGTCTCGTTCCTTCCTTCCTTCTCTCCTATATATTGCCTCTGTGTCTCTATTCTGCCCCAGATGCTCAAGTTGGACTTCATACCTAGACTATTCACTCATTCTCTGGTCTCTGTCTTCCTAGGTTTGAGGAGGATCAGTCCAAATTCCTTATTTTGGCATTTTTGACTTAAAAAAACCCTCTGGCATGGTATTTTATTATTATTATGATTATTACTATTATTATTTAATCCTCTGGCCTGATGTTGCTGGCTTCAGTAGGTTTGTTGGCTGGGTGACTGCACCATCCAGGTGAATCTGTTCAGCACCTCTAACAAGCTCAAGGTTCTGCTCAGACTTTCCTCCTCACTCCAGGTGCCCTGACTCATTTCTGCCATTCTAGACCTGCCCTTCCTTGAGAACGGCTTCAGTTCCTCCTCCTCCTCTCTCCTCCTCTGCTCCTTTCTGTCCTCTCATCCACGAAACCTCTCTTGACCGCCTTGTCCCTGCGTGATCTCAGTCCCCTTGAATCTTTCTTGGCTCCTGTCCAGCCCGTACACTGCTATTGGCTTTGGCTATTCCTAGCTGTCCATCAGGACAGGGTGGGAAGAAAGGGGCGTGGCAGTAGAAATTCTTCAGAGAACAGCAGGTGGGTGACTCAGGTCTCCTCTGCCCACTGAGTTCTTTAGGATTCCTTCCAGTTGGGGACTGGGCACTGGAGAGTCCCTTGTGTCACAAACTAGCAGAGGGGAAAAGCCCCCTTGTTTTACAGCAACCCAACACCTGTTCCTTTCCCATGATTTGTTCACTTCATTCTGGGAACGGGGTGTAGCCAGGGACAAGGCCTGGGGAGCTTTAACAACCCCTCTGTACCTACCTCACAAAGGAAGGAAAACACAGCAGCCAGTTGGAATCGGGAAGTTCTGTCTCGACCAGAACTTGAGGGCGGCACAGGTTGGTGAAAGAGGAAATGGAGTCTTGGAGAGAGGTGAATGGATCTGAACCAGAACTTGATTCCTACTGCTCCTGGCAGAAGGGGCTCCAGACCTCCCAGGGGGAATGGTGATGCCTGCTTTGGCATCCACAGTGCCCGTTCCTAGCCATTGGGCAACCTGAGACAGGACTTCTGAGTTTTTGTTTCTCCTGCCAAGGGCTCTGCCTGGAGTCCACCTCTCACCTGGCTTCAGCTAGCCCAGGACAATGATGGAGTTAAACTCCACAGGCTCCAGAGTGGCCCCAGCTCCTGGTGAGGAGTACCCTCACTTCCTAATTCTGCAAAGGGGTTCTGGTGGGATGAGGCATAGCAGGGGAGTCCGCTTCATCCCCAACTAAGCCCTCAGGCCTTGCAGTGTGGAGGAAACGGGGATGGAGGGAAAGGGCAAGCTAGCATTGTGAGGAAGGCCTCACCTCTTGTAGATAAGTGGTGGGGATCCTCAGGGCGCTAAGACAGCCATGGGGTCCTACCCCCAGAGGGGTTGAATTGGACTGGGAAGGTGAAAGTGGCAGCAAGAAAGGGAGGGAGGTATGGTGGACATGACAGTTTGATCCCAAGTTAAACACACAACCCTGGTAAGTGATGGCAGAAAAAAAAAAAAGTCAAGTGCTCTGTTGCCCTAGGTGTATTCACGAGCTCCACCCATCACACGGCAGCGGCCCCCTGGGATCAGGAGCAAAGAGCAGGTGACCTGAGACAATATTGAGGCACAAAAAAAGGTGGTCTGGCCCTCCCCCACCGTGGAAGGAAGGAACCTCGTCTCCAACAAGCTGGGGACTTACAGGGGGAGCTGGGAATTTCAGGGGGATAAAAGGAGAGAAGGGGAGGAGAGTAGAAAGTAGGAAATGTGGGGGAAGGTCTGGGTGACTGAGGGACTGAGGATCAGGGGGAAGGAGAGCAAAAGGCAAATGGACTCTGTGGGACCTCTCCCCCCTTTCCCCTCCCCCCATCTCCCCCATTATAGTAAGTGCCTGCAAAAAAGTCCACTGGGACCTCATCTTGATCACATTTCTGTTTTTTGTTGCTATCTTCAGAGATGGGCTCAGGCCTAGTGCCCGAGATTATGCATGGAGAGGTTTGGAAGGGTGCCTGGCTCTGGTAAGTGTGCAATACATTCTGACCATTATTATTACTGTGATCACATCTGAGGATTCTCTGTCTTGCTGCATGGCCTCAGGCAAATAACTTCTTCTTGCTTGGCTTCTCCTCACCCCTCCACCCTAGCTCTCGGCCCCCTAACCTTCCAGATGTTGCCAGAATGGCAGGGAAGAA